AATTTTGCGCTCTTTCAAAATCCGGGATCAAAAATATGGGTTTCTATTTGAAAATTGAAAGTAGACCTTCAAATAACCTTGAAAATGAAGGTCAAGGTCGGTGTCAAAGTCATAGTTCAATCAGCCCCTTCATATCCAACAATTTTTGTTTTAAACATTTTTTCATTTAATCGCGAGTTATTTGGCTGTCTAAGTTAAAATGGGTCACCCTGTATATATAATTATATATTACTCATGCAATACAAAGTGAATCAAGCAAGAAAACCAATCAACAACATGGAGAAAACTATCAACAATATAATCTTTAAACTGTAACGCTCGATAAAATCACATTATTAGTAACGACGATCAAACAAACCACTATTGTGTTTCCGTGCTTATCAATTTTATAAGTTCTTTATAATGAAAAAATATATGTCTTTAATTATTCTGAATACGTGTAGATGGGGGAAGGGGGAAAAAGATGTATGTTTTAATATGAAAATCAACAAAAATAAATCTTATATACAAAAGAAATAAAATATAATGATGACAAACATTGAAGTTGAATAAGAAAAAAAAAATCTTTCTTACATTATGCAATAAATAAAAGCTAAAATATAAATAAGTATAAATTGTACTTCAATGTATTTTCAATTAACGGTTTTTGTTCTAATGTTTATATTGTATACAAAAAGAAGTTTTAAAAAAGGAAAAAAAAAAGTAAATCGGTATTATCGAATCAATTCTTTATCAATTCTTTATCAATTCTTTATCAATTACTTTACTTTATATATACAATATTTCTTTTCTTGTAGTATAGAAAATACAAATTTATAATTTATTTATATATCTTATTAAAAAAAGCAATTAAGTGTGAAAAATATAAAAAAAGAAGACAAAGTAGTAAGAAAAAGTTATACAAATATTATGGAAAGGCGTGCGCCTATCATGTTCTAGTATGCTAAAAGTAAACATGTGTCAATTGCCAAAATTTAGATAATTTAATAGAAAGTTACTAAAAAGTAACTGTATGTGCTAGTAAAAATGTCCATAAAAGTAACTGTATGGAAAAGTTATTGTATGTGCCGACCACGATGTTTCCCTATGCGATGAACGTGCAATGAACTCTCTTTGATCTTGGTTAAAAACTTTATCCAAATTTGTTTGTCTTTTTCGCAATTTTGTTTTTAGTTGATTGCATAGCCGTTTAGTCCTCTTCAAATTTAATTTTAATGATTCTAAATATTTTTCATTATACATTTTATGCTGTGATGCTTGTGCGTTTATTGTGTTTGTTGTTGTATTGGCCTCACATTCACCTACAAATATGTATTTGTTTTAATTTAATTCAAATTATATTACAGTAATAGATATAGTTATATTGTGTAAAACTTACGAGATTCTATAAACTCTACATCACTGGAAAATTTCGAATTCCTGGGATTGTTTTCCTCTTTATCTTCCTCTTTATCTTTTGTTGTGTGCTTCTGTAACAAATTTGGTTTTGCAAATGGACGAAGCAGCCTTCTTCCATCTTCACGGTTATTTTCAAATTGATTATTGTCGAAATGGACCTGTAAAATTAATGTAATAATTATTATGCAATACATAACATTTTATATATGATAATGACTCATTAATAATACCTCACAAACTGCAGCCCTTTCCGGTAATGCTTCTTTGCCAATTAATTGAAGCCATTCTTTACGTCTATCGCCTGTTGGCACGCGAAATAAACGAAAGCCTTTTTCGGTGCGGTTTTTGCAATTTTGCACACAGCAACCGGGCATTTTCGATAATAACAGAATCAAATTCTTCTTCTAGACCTCTGTATGAATTTCCAACCTTTTAACAGGTTAGGAGTTAGGAGAGCATTTCAACGCGATTTTGGCTCCAAACACTTCTTTCTTCTTCTTCTATATATAATTGTGGCCCGGGTCCTCGCCAACGAGGTGAGCTTAGCTAGTCTTGTCAAAATAATAATGTAATGCAAAGCACAGTTGAAGCCAGAAACGCTTTTCAAAAAATTAATGAGATGATGCATATAATACCCGAAGCAGGGTACCTATTAAGGCCTAAACACAATGCGAGGCAGTAGCGATAGCGATAGACATAGCGATAGGAACAGAGGAATCCAACATACAGGAATCCATATGTCAATGCACATAAGAACATGGAATAACGATAGCGATAGCGATAAATTTCCGACGAGTTGGAATTCTGTGTCTATCGCCTTATAGCCTGTTATAGCCTACCAATCAGCATTCAGATTTTACATTCTGTTCTTCTTCTCCGCTATAACCTCTTTTCACGATCTGTCGACTCAATTAGTTTGATTATGAGAAAATGGATAGTCGTGAACTTTAACGATTAATATCTCGGTTCGCGAGGCAGAGCGACGTTTTTTTCTGCCAGATTCTTTCGTTTTGTGCAAAAACGCGACGAATAAGCCTGAGAGTGGTTTCACAAAATTTTCCGATTTTAATAATTTATTCGATCATCCGCTCATATATACGCGATGGAAAGGTACCGGTTTCCCATGAGGTGTACTTTTCGAGATGCGTAGGTTACGAAAACCAATCATAAATTCATAATTCAAATCATTAGCAACCTAACCTATTACACCAATTTACACCACCTCAACAAACAGTGTATAATCATATGCTAGATTCACATTGCATCTGATTTGCGTCGTACGACGCTCTGCAACCAATCAGAAAACAGGATTTCGATGATGCAAAATCCATCTGAATCCTGTTTTCTGATTGGTTGAAGAGCGTTGTACGACGCAAATTGGATGCATTGTGAATCCAGCAATACACCTTAATGTCACTTCCGACAAAAAGAACGTTAAAGTGTACACTTTACACTAAAGTATATAAAGTGTAAGGGCCTGCGCACAATAGAGGAATAAGAATTAGATATTAAGATTTCAACCTATCAGAAACCATATATTCCGATGTAATCAGTTTCTGATAGGTTGAAATCTTAATATCTAATTCTTATTCCTCTATTGTGCGCAGGCCCTAAGCAAGAAGAACAAACCTTATTTTTCACTGGGATAATCTACAATAATTATGTGCACAATAGTTATATATATATAAACAAAATTAGTTACATGTAATAAAATTTAATTTTTGCATGAATGAAATAAATAATTTTTGTAAAATAAATATTATATGTATATGTATGTACTTTTTATTTTGCTATTTGAAAATAATTTTTGTTTTTCATACCTATATGAATGCATGCTTATTAAATGAAAATATTGTTTTTTTTAGAAACATGTGAGTATATTAAACTTAATTAATGTATATAATAAAAATAATCTTTATTAACAAATATTTTACACGCATGCACGCACACACATTATAGTATATCTGTATATACGTATGATATATAACTTTATATATACAGGATATCCGATCAATATTAACAAAGCGCTCATGTGTAGATAGAGCAGACTAAACTGAGTCGAAAAGTCCTCTACTATTTTGCAATTTTCGCGATAGCTAACAAGATATTAATTATAAAGGTTATGCGTTTCGCGGGTTTCCTCCGTGTCCAGATCCATTTTTGAGATCCCAACGTTTCGTGAACCTTGCAGTTCACTTCATCTAAAGAGGCTTTATATCTTTGACTTCCTCAGAGTGAGGAACAGCCTGATACCGAGTTGTTCCTCCAGGCCGTTCCGTTTTATATTACGCTGCTTGTTGGAATGGTGAGGGTGGGCGGAAAGGGGGAAGTTGAGAGAGGGGAAAGAGATGGTGGAATTGGTCGATCCCAAAGACATAGAGAATGGACTGCGCGATCCGTGTGTCAAAATGGTCGATAGGGATGAAAGTGAGGGACCGTGGCAGACGGCCATTTCTATCTCTTTCCATTCAATAGTGTAATAGGGGAGAGAATGAGAGGGAAATTGGCCGTCTCCCACGGTCTCTCTCTCTCATTATTGTCGACCACATTTGATATACTACTTGGATACGGATCACCAGTCCATTCTTTATGTCTTTGGTCGGTCAGGTTGGTCTTCATCAATAACCGGGAGAATGGTCTTCCATATTTTATATTTATGTTGTAGCCATTATTTCTATTTAAATTGTTAGGGTGTTTTTGTATCTCTATGGCTTTCGACGTCGCGCCGAAATTGGTGTGACAACCGGTTGCCGACGTACTGCCAACGTTGGCCCGAGCGCCAGTGTTGCCAACTTGGGGGTTTTCCCCCCAAATTTAGGGGGTTTTTAAGCTGCGAGGGGAATTTTAGGGGGTACAAAAATGCTAGGGGTTTTTTGGGGGGGAATAAATGTTCATCAATCATTGGCTGCGTTCAGCAGACTCAGCAGTTTTGCAACCGTTTTATAATTCGTCGCGCTGATTGATTTATACTTTTAGTTTTAAAGGAATAGTCCAATCTCAGCAAAGAATCATGGGTGCGATAATACTGATGGTCAGATACTATCTAAAGATTGATAATATATCATGCGTTAATTTTAAGCCAACGGAGGCAATGATAAAAAAATTTAATGTATCTATGTACGATCATAAAAATCAGAACGATTGTCACGAAATCAACCTGTTTTACGAGACTATGGAAATAAATAACATATAAAATTGTAAAATATGGTTTATTTAAAAAAAAATAATTACATAGTTATCATTATTTACTTTTTGGCGATTTGTGCTTCTACAAAAATTAAGATTTAGGGGGATTTGGGGGGATTTCAAATTCAATCTGGGGTGAAGTTAGAACAAAGGGTTGGCAACACTGCTCCCGGTTTCTCCAATGTATACTTTCCAGCAGAAACAAGGTATTTTATATACTCTTGCGGAACTGAGTGGAGGTCTTTGATCTTTAGGATTCCTTAAGATTTGTCCTATCTTTTTGGGTGGTTTAAAGATAGTTCGGATATATCGTGTTTGTTTAATATCCTGCCAATCCGATCTGTTTCTCTCACTGTTTTCCTGTAACGTTGATAGTATTTGAGTAAAAAATTATTGAAGACCAACTCCTATAACACAAAAGTTGCAGCAACATTGCATATTGCAGCAATATTGCAGAGATTTTGCAGCAATACTGCTGCAAATTCTGTGCTGTATGGGAATATTCGGTAATTTTTATTAATTAGTATCTATATTACTAATAGAATTAGTAAATGGAGCATTTTAAGAAAGCGGCCCTCGGAAAAACACCAAAAAAACCAAAAATTTTGTTCCGTTATGTAGACGATACATTCGTGGTACGGAGACACGGCAGAACCGAATTACGTAAATTCATTATTTTCCTCAACAAACAACATCCAAGTATCCACTTCACTATAAATATATATATGTATATATGTATATTGACTATTTTTATCAATATCAGAAAATAAGGTATTAAAAAGTTCTGAAAAAATTCTCAGATTTTTATGAGAAGAAAATAAACAATTGTTGATTAAAAAATTATTGAAAATCAATATTCTCAGCGATTTTTAGTAATTAATATATTGTTAACTATTGCGAAAATTGCAAAATAGAGAACTTTTCGACTCAGTTTAGTCCGTTCTATCTACACATAAGCGCTTTGTCAAACTTAGCAGACACCCTGTATATACATATACAATATTATGCATATGTATATATTATAAATCATAAAAGTATATAGGCCGGTATTCATAGTCAGATATCTTATATTCAAGATCTAAGTAGTTTTAAAAAGTCACGAACCAATCAAAGGACCGTATTGGCGTCTTAAAACATTATTTAATTAAGACAGTCTTGAAATAAGAACGGACTATGAATATCATCCATAAGTATTATATACACCAAATATTTGCTTTACAAAAATAATTATATAAAAATTACATAAGTCATAGTAGAGCTTCTTCTCTTTCCTCTTTTCGTATATTTTCTTAACAATTAGTCATATACACACATAAAAGTAAAGATTATTTCTATGTAACAAAAAATATCTATAAAATAAATATTATTTTTACTTAATTTCTTCTTTCTTATTATATGTATTACTTATTATATACTTTTTATATGTTGTATTATATAATGTGTGTGATGTACAGCATTTTTATTTATTTTTATGATTCTCTCTCTCTCTCTCTCTCATAATAGTACGAACAGAAATTGTTATGAATCATCCAACAATTAAAATATGAAGCTAAAATAATGGCAGGTCGTTGCCTGTGTGAAATCAGGCTAGGGCGGTAAAGGTGAAAGGTCAAAGGCAACGGGCTAGCACAGATATCGACTCGGGTGAGATCGAGAAGGTGAGGTAACCGGGTTACAGCCGGGGTGGCGGATAGGCACTCTCCAAAGCGGGTTGCCCTAGAATTCGACTTCGGCGTTTTCGCACACGCGCGTCGTTCAACAACACCCCCTCACCTTTGTATCACTTGCGAGGGTTACAAAATAAGAATAAATATATAAATTGCTGTATAAATGCAAAGCACGATTTATTATTGCTGGTATAACATTTTATCCTAACACAACTAATAATCTCTTCTTTTTAATTTATACGAGTGATATTTTGTAATATTATATCCCTCGATCTGCAATCCAAATAGAAACACATACACAAAATTTCTTTATATAAATTCCTTTCTTTTGTATGAATTATCTCTCGATAATTATCATTGATCTTATTGTTAGATCAATTGAATTTTTTTCACAATTATGGTCAAATCATGTTTCTTTTTCTTTTCTTTTTTTTGCGAATGCGACGCTTCCGTGTGAATGCGGTGAAAGTGACAGGTCAGCTGCTGTTATGTTCGCACCCCCGCCTAGATTCAACCCTGCGCGAGGTCCCTACTGCGCGCGCGGTTGCCGATGATAGAAGGAATGAAGTGGAGGAAGAGAGAGAAAGAGAGAAAAACAGAAAAATAGAGAGGAAGAGATGAGAGAGAGAGAGAGAGAGAGAGAGAGAGAGAGAAGGAGAAAGAGGGTAGAGGCGCGTGCAATGCGGCTGTCTGCGGCTGCTCGTGACTCGTCCTGACTCGTCCGTCAGTCGGTAGTCGTGGGTGGTTGCACGCACGCTCGGGGGTGACGGGTGCGTCTACATTCGCGAGGAGGGCGATGGAGGTTTCGTGCGCCTTGCTGGCGATCGAGTGAGACGCGCCATTCGTTGAACCGTCGTCGTTGTCGCGTCGTCGTCGTCGTCGTTGTCCGTGTACCAAATCGTTCGTGATAAGAGTGGCACGAACAGACAAGGGCAGCGCATAAAAGAAGGAATCCTCGCGAGCGCAACGGGGTGACAAAATGTCGATGTATCACTGTTTATTGTGAACGAGTCGAGGAAACGAGGCAGAAAGGCAAAGGGAGAGAGACAAACAGAGAAAGAGAGTAAATAAGGGGGTTGATCACGGTTGCAATACCTCTCTCTCCCTCTCTCTCTCTCTCTCTCTGTCTCTCGGATTGTTGGTACGCGCAGTCG